TGGAATATATAAAGAACAAAAAGTAGCACTAAATAGCAAATAAATAAATAAATAAAATCTAATTGCAATGGTCAAAGATATGAAGAAACATTTCTCCGAAGAGTGTATAAATGAAAAATAAGCATATTAAAAATGTTCAACATTATTAGCCATTTTATGGAAATCTAAATTTAAAACACAATGAGATATTACTACACCTATCAGAATGGCTAAAATAAAAAGAGTAATAAAATCGAATGCGGGAGAAGATGCAGAGAAATGTAATAATCCATACATTGTTGGTGAGAGTGTAAAAATGGTACAATCACTCTAGAAAATAGTTTGCTACTATCTTAAAAAAAGAAAAAACCCTAACTAAAATGTTAATACCATATAACTGAGCAATTAACTCCTGAGAATTTATTACAGAACAATGAAAATTATATTTATACAAAATCATATACACAAATGTTTATAGTAGCCCTAATTGTAGTAGCTCCAAACTGGAAACAACCCAAATATCCTTTCATGGGTAAATAGTTAAACAAATTGTAGTAACCCATGCTATGAAATACTATGATCATAAAAAGAAACAAACAATTAACACAACAACCTGGATGAATCTCTGCATATTTATTCTAATTGAAAAAGTGCCAATTATGAAAAATTACATACCGTACGATTCCATTTATATAAATTTTTTAAATTACCAAATTATAGTAATGGAGAAGAGATTAGAGGCTGCAGTAAGGGAGCTCTAATGGGTAAGTTTAAAGGGAAGACGGGAGACAAGTCAATGTGAAGATCCAAGTACAAAATTAAGGATTCTTGCTATGAGGAAATCTGTATTTTGCCTATATCAATGCCAATGTCTAATTGTGTTACTGTACTATGAACTTTTTAAGATCTTGTGAGATAAAACTGGGTGTCCAAAACACAATATCTCTCTGTATCATTACTTACAACTACACATTAATATACAATTATTTCAGAATAAAATATTTAATTTAAAATATAAACCCAAAAGATAAAATAACAAATAAAAAGTTATACAGCTCATAAGCCACATTTGCAGAAAAACATAAATAGAAATAAAATCATTTTAATAATCAATTTATCCAAATCATAGGAGAAAAGAAGAAAAGGAGGAAGAGAACAGAATGGACCAACAGGAAAAAAAAGAAAAAGAAAAAAAGAAAACTAAGATAAATTATTTCAACTTGATTATTTCAATTATTACATTAAATGTAAGTGGTTTAAACACCATAATTAAAGGACAGAGATTATCAGATTGAAATAAAGGAAAACAAGGCTCAATGACTGCTGCTTACAAGACTTGGACTTCAAATATAAAAGCACAAATAAATTAAAAGTAAAATTATGGAAAAATACTATGAGAGAGAAGTAGATGAAAGAGAGTAGAGAACCAGAAATGTATGAACAACTTATTTCTTATAAATATGCAAATTTCATAGAGAAAGGGTATCTTTTCAACAAATGATACTGGAAATATTGAATATCCATATACAAAAACTGAGTATATCCTTACATAGTACCTGTGATTGTTCATTTTATATGTCAACCTAACTGCGGCATGGGGTGACCAGCTATTTTATTAAATATCATTTCTGGACATGTCTGTGAGGATGTTTCTAAATGATGTTAGCATTTGAATTGGTATGCTAAATGAAACAGATTGCTGTCACCACTGTGGGTGGGCATCATCTAGTACACTGAGGGTTTAAATAAAATAAAAATTTGAAAGAAGGGAGAATTCACTCTCTCTGCTTGACTACTTGAGCTAGAACATTGATCTTTCCCCTGCTCTTGGAATGGAACTTACATCTTACATCATTGTTGCTTCTGGTTCTTAGGCCTTTGGACTTGGACCAGAATTTATATGATCAGTTCTCTTGGATCTCAGGCCTTTAGACTCAGATGGGGACTGCACCACTGGCTTCCATAGGTCTCCAGCTTTCAGGTGGAAGATGGTGAAACTTCTCAGTTTTCATACTTGTGTGAGCCAATTGTGTGTGTGTGTGTGTGTGTGTGTGTGTGTGCGCGTGTGTGTGTGTGTGTGTGTGATGTGTATAAAAATCTCTTAATGGTTCTGGTTTTCTGGAGAACCATGACTAATACAGTACCATATGTGCAAATTAACTCTAAATGAATCATGTGGATAATTGTGAAACCTATAAAACTGCTAAAAGAAAGTACCAGAGGAAACCTTTGTGACCCTGGGTTGGACATACCTAAAACTTTTTAGATAGGATGTGAAAAGTATGATTCAAAAAAAAAGTTGATAAATTATCAAAATGAAAAACTTCTACTTTTCAAAAGACAGTATTAAAAGAATGGAAAGAAATGGCTAAAATTGGGAGAAAATACTTGCCAAATATATAAAATCTCTCAATACTCATTAATAAGAAACAATACAATATAAAATGGGCAAAAGATTTGGTGACACTTGAACAAATGAGATATATAAAAATAAGCACACTAAAAGATATTCCACATCTTTAATCATTAAGAAAATGTGAATCAAAACCACAATCAAGAGCTACTACGTTCAAATTAGATAGTTTAAAATTGAACAAACTGACCACATCAAATATTGGTGAAGATGTGGGGAACACAACTCAAGCTAAATTTTGTGTTGTGTTCATTGATGGTAGGAATGTAAAATGGTACAACTACTTTGAAAAACAATTTGACAGTTTCTTGAAAAGTTGACCCTATACCTACCATGTTGTCCAGCCATTCCACTCCTGGGAATTTATCTAAAGGGCAAGAAAGTATATGTCCATACAAAGACTTTTACACATATATTCATAGTAATCAACTACTACTGTTTTTAACATCCAAAATGGAAAACACTCTAAGTGTCTGTCAATAGGTGAATGGATTATAAATTTCATATATCCATATGATAGAATATACACAGTAATAAAAGTGAATAAACCATTGATACAGGCAGTAATATAGATGAAACTCAAAATAATTATGCAAATGAAAGAAACCATATAAAAACAGAAAATGTACTATATAATTTCATTTATTAAAAAATTGTAGAAAATGCAAACTAATGTACAATGAGTAACAGAAAGCAAATCAATGATTGTCTAAGGAGGATGGTGCAGGAGGCAAGAATTACATAAGGTCATGAGGAATCTTTTGGAGATAATGAATGCATTAATTATCTTGATTGTAGATATGGTTCATGATGTCAACATTTATCAAATGGTATACTTTATATATAAGCAGTATATTGTATGCCGTGTGTACCTCAATAAAACCGCTGCACACAGGCACACATACACACACAGTCCTCTCTTAAACTGTACTGGAAGAAATTATTCAAGAAGTAGCAAGATTTGTTGATAGATCTAAGTCTGCCTTTAAAATATTTTTACACAGTTTACCATAGGGGCCTTTTTATAACCCAAGGATATAGGACAAAGAAAATTTGAATTGGAATATTTGTTTCACTGTTTCAGAACTAGTCAGGATCGCAGGTGGGGGCGATTTGCTCTCTCAAGCATATGTTAGAGAAGTTAACTTTCACAGATTTCACAGATGTAGCTCCCTGCTTGTATTACACTACCATATTCAGTGCCATCCCAACCCACCTCACAAATGTTCTTGCCATAAAATTTTACATCTCATAATAAGTAAAGTTGGTAACTAATGGAAAGATAAAGTTGATTTTGATGTTTTAATCTTTAGAATTCTTAATATTTCATGAAAACCACATATAGTCGTATTTCAAATACCTCAAATCACTTTCAGAAACACAGAATAACATTTGAAGTATTTATGGCTCTTCTTATCAATATCAAATCTCCTTTCACTAAAATAATGTTATGCAGTATAAATAATAATATCCTGAATAAAATATATTCAGTATAAAGGGAAACAAAGATGGTTTGCCTTAAGTGGAAATTTAAAAATTATTTGGCCCTTCTGCCATCAACAACAACAAAAACAGAGACAACATAGAGATAACACTAAAAACTGTTGTTACTACTTTAATCTCTATACTTCTGCATAAATAATCATTGTAATTTGCTGAATATTCTTTCAAAACTTCTTCCTTACGTGTGATGACTTGACTAATATCAAGGTAGACCTAGCCAGAATATAGCAGGGTCTTGTAGAAAACTTACAGTTTGGCTGGCGCAGTGGCTCACGACTGTCATCCCAGTACTTTGGGAGACTGAGGTGAGTGGATCACTTGAGGTCAGGAGTTTAAGACCAGCCTGGCCAACATGGTGAAACCCTGTTTCTACTAAAAATACAAAAATTATCTGGGCATGGTGGTGTGCGCCTGTAATCCCAGCTGCTCAGGAGGCTGAGGCAGGATAATTGCTTAAACCCAGGAGGTGGAGGTTGCAGTGAGCCAAGATCATGCCACTGCACTTCAATCTGGGTGACAAAGCAAGACTCTGTCTCAAAAAAAAAAAAAAAAAAAAAAAGAAAAAAGAAAAAGAAAAAGAAAAAGAAAAAAGAAAACTTGTATTTTCTTTCTATTCCTTTCTCCCCTTCTTACACTCTATAAATTATTCTTTTTCTTTCTCTTCCTCTTTTAATCCTTTTTTTTTGTTTACTTGTTTCAGGACAATATTATTTTTTTCTATTTCTTCATAAATCCCTCAAACTGAGAAGGCAAAATATTTTATGTATTAGTGGAGCAAAGCATTGGCTTGAGAGAAGTGTGGTTTATTCTTTAGCTGGGACGGATAATTTATATCGCCTGTCCTCCCGGTAGTTTTTATATAGGCAATTCACTTTTGCTTAACCTTATGAAAAACGCAAGATTGCCGTACAAACACATCTACTAGGACTCTGCAATATAGAAGAAGTTGCAGGTGGGATAGGATATGATGATGGGATAGGCCACCAAAGTCATTTGCCATAGATCTCCTTTAAGCGAACTCCTTTAGAAATAGCATTACCTGGGAAGATTTTAAGTTTTGACACAATCCTCTGTTTAATTTCCCTTTGATTCTGGTGTTTCACAGCTGCTGAAGGAATGGTGTGCAACCATCTGTGTTCCAGTGATGGCTGTTGGGGACCTGGGCCAGACCAATGTCTGTCGTGTCGCCGCTTCAGTAGAGGAAGGATCTGCATAGAGTCTTGTAACCTCTATGATGGGTAAGGCTTCTTCTAGGGTTGCCTTCACCTCATGAGCTTTGAAGGACTGATTAGTTCTGATTTGTTTGTTTGTTTGTTTGTTTTTAGAGACGGAGTCTCGCTCTGTCGCCAAGGCTGGAGTGCAGTGGCACTATCTCCGCTCACTGCAAGCTCCGCCTCCCGGGTTCACGCCGTTCTCCTGCCTCAGCCTCACAAGCAGCTGGGACTACAGGCGCCCGGCTAATTTTTTTGTATTTTTTAGTAGAGACGGAATTTCACCGTGTTGGCCAAGATGGTCTAGATCTGCTGACCTAGTGATCTGCCCGCCTTGGCCTCCCAAAGTGCTGGCATTACAGGCATGAGCCACCGCGCCTGGCCTAGCTCTGATTTTTAAATTTTAAGAAAATGGTAAAATGCAGGCCAGGATTTTTAAGGAGAGTTCTTGTTGCATAAAGGAGACAACACATAGACGAATTCTTTTAAGGAGAAATAATTTTATTTGAAATTACAAGTTCAAATACATAGTTTACTATTATATGCATTTTTAAAAACATACTCGGACAATTCTTAATAAACTATAGCAATTTACACTTAAGCAAAATTGAGAAATATATTCCTGTTTTCTTTATGAAGGGGATTGTTAGAAGTAATCTTCCTCTCCATATATCCCAATAATAATATTTTTTATTTTCCTCTCATACTTCCCTATAAATTTCATCTGGAGTGCATGTTTTCTTTCTTTTTTTTTTTCTTTCCACTCACTTTTATGTCTATTTGTATATAGGAATGGCTTGTCTCTATGTGTCTGACAAGTGATCAGCCCAGTAGAAAACCTATGTTGTAGTTTCTACTTGAAGTGGTTTAGAAAGTGTTCTGCCAGGTTTTAGATAATCTAAGTAGTATTTTAAATCAAGTATTTTTAATTTTCTCTGGTACTTCAATAATAACATTACCAGTAGGAGAACCTAGTAAGTTCATAATATTTCATATATTCATAAAATCACTTTATCATAACATACTATTTGATGCATTATTCTTGTTCTTCATTAGTGTGATAATGCATTTTTAGTGCTGCTCCTAAGTCAAATTTTCTTATGTTGCTCACTGAAAGTATTTTCTTTTTTAAATTTTTATTTATTTTTATTTTTTGAGTCTAAGTTTTGCTCCTGTTGCCCAGGCTGGAGTGCAATGGCCTGATCTCGACTCACCACAGCCTCCACCTCCCAGGTTCAAGCAATTATTCAGCCTTAGCCTCCCGAGTAGCTGGGATTACAGGTGCCCCCCACCACACCGGGCTAATTTTATATTTTTAGTAGAGACAGGGTTTCTCCATGTAAGCCAGGCTGGTCTCTAACTCCTGACCTCAGTTGATCTGTGTGCCTTGGCCTCCCAAAGTGCTGGAATTACAGGTATGAGCCATGGCACCCGGCCTGAAAGTATTTTCAATAGCTTTGGAAAGTATAGTTTTGAAGTTCTTTCATTTCTTCTTGTGCCTTGTGAATTATCCCACTGATATTCAATAAATAACATTGCAATTTTGCATTTTACATGAGAAAAATAAAAATATATAGATTATAATGATATTGACATGTCTCTTCTTTGCAAGATGTCCAAAACCAATTCCCTCCATAAAATATAAGGGGAAAAGATTAATATTAGAAGCGTAAGTATAAAAAAATTAAGTAAGAATTTAATCATTTCTCAGGAAAATTTTAGCATTTAATTTTGTGAGGTAACTTTGGCTTGCAATTTGAAAATGAATAGGAGATTATTTGCTGCTTGTCTCACTGAATCATATTTATGCTTGTTCCCAATTTTATGAACATAAAATACCTCAGATCAAAATATGCTTGCTTTTGCGTTCAGCAATTGATAAATGAAACAAAACACAGTAGACTAATAAAATGAAACACAATAGACCAATTTCATTAAGTGAATATTACATTAAAAGTTTATTGAATACATATGTGTAATTCTAAAGAGGAAATTAATTACAGAAATCATTTTGTGTAATAGCAGCATCTTATAAATAGAGGGAACTGGTATAATTAAGTATGAGCTAAAGTCACAACACTACATAGGACTCAAGCCAATGCTAGAACTTAAGGTATCTGATTTTTCATCTTGTTTTTTTGTTTGTTTGTTTGTTTTTTCCCAGAATACAATTGTTTTTCTTTAATATTACAGTTTTTAGCTTTTCAGAAATATGAAATTTATAAACATGTGGATGTAAACACCAGTTTCTGTCTCATTTCTGCAAAACCATGAAAGCTAACCAAAAGAAAAATATGGGTTTCCTGAAGAAACACTGATTACCACACTGTTTTTTTATATTTAGCATATTTCATATTTACATCATAAAATCAAATCTGTTAAATTAACTTAGTTTTTAATGTATTTTGCAGTAATTGTGGCAACCCAGGAAACCATAAACATGGGGCTAGTTTGAAAGATGATCAACGTATGTGTCTTGTAAAAGACTGGTGCAATTCTTGCCTGTCCAATGATGGATTGCCTACTTTCCATCTTGTGGTATGGGCCAGTCTCTTTCAACATTGGCTGATGGTTATGATAGCCTTTGAGGAAAAACAAGTTTATATCCCAACTTGCTTAAACTCTTGTGAAAGCTTAAGAACAACACAGAAACATCAAAGAGGGAACCAGTGTAAGCTCTTTGCAAGTGTTTTTACATTTAATAATTGCAGTTTCTCAATGAAATCTTATTTTTTTCCTTTTACAGAGGATTTTTTTTTAAATGAGGCTTAAGGAAGTTCAAGTATTTAAGGCCTAGAAATATTAGTGTTGGTCCTGGGCTTTAAATCTGGAAAAACTAGATCCCAGAGTATTCACTCTTGATCACAGGACTTGCTAAGGTAACACATACAACGAAACTGTGAGAAATGTATCATAGCAAAACCAAGTGAAACAAAGCTCCGTATGCAAAGCTCATACTTAATAGACTATAAATTGTTAAATTTGATTCAAGTGAAAGAATAACTCTGGCAAAGTCACAATGGAATCACTGGAGGACAGGAAAGAAAAAGAGAAATTATGGAGAAAGTCACAATAAAGGGCAGAACAAGTTATAGAGACTGCCAGGAGGATCTTTTCTGAGAGTAGGAAAATCAGAAGCCTGTCAAATGGAAGTCTGTGGAAGAAAAGCGCAATACACTGTCTCCGTGATTGTTTTATGACATACATTTTATTCCTCAACTCTGCATGTGGGGAAGTGGATTTTGGAAAAGAGTAAGGAAAATGTGACCTTTGTTCTAGTAATATGAACACTATAACCTTCATTTAGTACCATAAACTTTTAATCACCCAAGAAACTGTTATCCAAACCAGTGGATAATCTCAAGTTGTGCTATAATTGTGTCATAATTTTGTTATACAAACAATGCTCTTGATTATCTTTACAATTTTACTACCCTCCCATACCAACTCATTTTGACTTTTATATTCTGAAAGTTTCCTTTGTTGAGTACTTTGTATGGTTTATGTCAGTGAAGCATGCAAAAGATCACCTGTCTTTATGTAATTGTGATTTTAAAATTAAGACAATGTATAAAAGGTTTGATCCATAACAAACTACTATCTCACTTTATAAAATGCATAAACCATGTAACTAAATATATGTGCATTCCATACATAATTAAGCCACCTATTTATGCTATTTATTTGGAAAACCAAACTTAATTATTTTGCCTTGGAATAGATGTAGTCTTAATTTAACCAACAGAAAACATAGCTCATTGTTGTACTTCTGTCATTTATTAAGGCTTTACAGTATTCAAATGAGAAAAAAGTGAACACTTCTCTTTAGGTAAAAATATTTTTTAATGTATCACCTAATGAATCAAAAATTGCCATACCTGTAATGCTGTTGGTGTGGAGTGGTAACACAGGACACAAAAGCACAAAATAATGAAGTAGCTAAACATAGTCAAATTTTATTAATGATTTGTAAATGGCATTTTAAATTGTCTGTACTCAGTACCTTATCCTCCTGTATTTTAGTGGAACGGGGTGGTTTAAACATATTATAGATGACTGGTATCTAATTATTGATATCAAAATTTTGCAGTAGACATATATTATAAAATTGATAAGTTGATCACATGTAATATACAAATAGCCACAACAATGTAAGGATATAGGAAGAGATGACCACCATCCCGGGAGATTTCAATTAGAAAGTTTAAGGATGTTACCATTAAACTATTTCTTTTATTGTGTACCATATAGAATTACTTTGATATTAGATCAATAATATAAGAAAATGAAATCTACCATAAAAAGATATTTTCTCTAATTCTCCAAGGCAGATATTTTAAAAGGAGAAGAGGAATCAAAGTAGTTTTTGAAGTTTCACCAAAAATCAATCGAAGAGTCTTGGGATTTGAAGGACAAGGATGGGGAACATTCACATAACTTAGCAGCAAGAAAAATACAATAGTTCTTTCAGAGTTTAGAAAGTAAAGCTTCTCTGAGAGTAAAATTGTATATAAAGACAAAGCAGGCACAGCCTTATTTGAAAAGGTAAAAATGGTTTTACTGCGTCATCAGAACATAGAAGAGTTATACTTTGTCGCTTTTTTTTTCTTTTTGGGACTGCTGGAATATGTCTTGCAGGAGAGAGGTTTCCAGTATGAGTCTAACGTTGAACTCATTGGAGGGCAGGGAGAGCCATCTGGCTGCAGTTTATCTTTTCTCCTAATGGAAAACTTAATGTTTCTGATGCTCCTGGCACATAGAGAAACAAACTGTAGAATTTACTCTGCCAATAGGACTTTTCACAGATGTTACTTCATTTGTTAGGTTGACAGCTTGTTTGCTTATACCTCCTCATGTGGCTGATGTTTTCACAGTGAATTTCGGGAGTTTGAGAACGGCTCCATCTGTGTGGAGTGTGACCCTCAGTGTGAGAAGATGGAAGATGGTCTCCTCACATGCCATGGACCGGTAAGCCTGAAGACATCTGTGGTGTGTTGGTTTATTTAGTATCATGTATGAATGTTTGTTATTATTTTATCATTTATTCATCCATTCAATAGCTACTTATAGGATGCCATGGGGAAACATGTTTATCTGCCTACAAGAGGCTTAAAGTTAGTAGTAGAGATAAAATAGTTAAAAGTCGATGTCATACATATTTATTCTCCAGATAAAATAGTTAAATGGAATTATAAGATATGGAGTGGCCCTGGACTATTGCACAGTATAGAAAAGAATAATTAGATTGAAGCATAATCACTAACAAAATAAAAATATTTATAAATTGTTATAGAAACACAAATGAAGGAAAAACTAATTCTGTCTTTGGGATGGAAATAAAGACATCAAGATAGGCTATAAAGAAGTGATGTTTGAGCTATGCTTTGAAGAAGAATCTGGAAAGAAGAAACATGTAAATATACACAAATGTAAAAGTTCATGTTGTATTTGAGGAAAGCTATCACACATTTTTACATGCATTTAATCCTTTAACTATTGTGGCAGTGTGAAAGACAGTGGAAAGAAGGAGACAAGTACTCATAAACTAAAATCTAAAGCAGTGCAATAAATACTATGGCAGAGGGAAGAATTGAGCTATGAGAATCCAAGGAGGGGTTATAGGATTAGGAAAGTTCTCATGGATGAGGTCTCATTTACATAGTTTGAAGTTAGCCTCAGAGAGAAAATTATAATTATATTTTAGACCTCTCTTTGGTTTCCATCATTTAAGTTTTTCTTAATAATGAGATCAGTATAAATTTTTCATTCCTAATTGTCATTTTCATCCTTCTTTAGACAAATTTCCAGTTTATCTGTGTTATTGAATCATCTCTCAGTGGATAATTTGAGACCAACATTTGGATGTAGACAAGAGCTTCACATTGCTCTGTATGGTTTCGTTGGAAATTTAAATAGTATTAATTTTTATACCAGAGTGCTTATTCAGCACTTAATTAGCTTAGAAAAAAACATATATAATTGAGCCCTCCAAACTTCCATTAGGCCCCAATTAGCTGTTCTGGAACTTCATCTAAAGGAGGATGTGGAAAAGTTGGCCAGTTCAGAGGACTACCACAAGGATGATTAGCTTGGAAAATTAGAGCTCTGAGAAAAAGAGATGGTGTTGTTTGGCATGAAGAACCAAAGTGTAAAAGGCAATTTAATATGTAATGATCTCCAAATAAGTATGCAAAGGGCATGTGCAGCTATTTTCTTTCTCCATTATGGACAGTCATGAAAAATACAATTAATCGACAGTGTGAGAAATATGAATTCTGTAAAGAATGTCATGAAACACAGGGAAGTGAACTTCTGTAATGGCCTGTTAAGGCAAGTTGAGATATCTATATGAGTCTTTAAAAACGAACATATTTAGGTAACTTCTTGACTATTAATCATGGAATTAAAAAAATCTTTCCGAGAGACAGAAATTTTTAAAAATGTATAATTAAAATAATCAAGGATTTGGCCATCTCTGAATAGGCTGGGAATCATCATAGGCCTCTAGATCCAATCATAATATATATTAGACATAGATTTACAGAAACACTTTTCAACAAATTATGAGCAACTGCCAAAACTTGCCTTGATAGTTAAAGAATCAGTAATCTTTCAATGTTAAGCAGGTAAGAACACAATGTCTTTCAGTAGTGGTGTGTGAATCACTACAGGTACCACTGCACTGATATTTCCCATAAATTTCTTATTACGATTTTCTAGATTACTTTTTTCTTCACATATGCAATTTCCTATTTCTTTCTGTTAACCTTTTTAGTTTGAACAAGGCTTTAAGAAACATCTTATTCATTTATTCAGCAAATATGATTTAGTACCTACTTTGTGCCAGGTTTCATGAGCTTACATATTGATAGGTTTTTACATATTAGCAAATTCAAACATTAATATTCAAAATTATTTCTCAAAAATTAAATTGTATTATTTGCATATTTTAATTTTTTCACATTGTCCTTTATTTGTCTATTGTATACTGTATAATGAAAATACATTCAAGTAATAATATTTTGGCCTTTCTTGCAATTGTGAGTTTTCAGAAAAATCAAATCTATTTATGAACTAATACTTTTAGTTCACCTAATCCTATAGACAAAAAACTAATCTGCTTAGATGTAGCATAATGAGATACCATTTTTTTTTCTAATTTCATGAAAAAAATCCCCTGCATGAAAACTTGATGTTTGCTTAACATCTGTAGCAAAGACTAACCTTCACTAAAGAAAGAATTCAGTAACTGTCCCTTCAGTATGCCTATGTTAGTTTTCAGGTGTGAAAAAAGTTCAATGACCACTTTACCTCTGAATCAGGTCAGAATTAATCTGATCATCTTGGATCATATTTATATTCATGATTTAACACACATTGCTGAGGGCCTTTTGTGACCTAGTTCTGTGCTAGGTATTTCACCTACATTTTATTTTATTGTCTTGTAGGTATTACTCCCATTTTTCCAATGAGGAAATAATCTCAGAGATGTTAAATGAATTGCTCAATGTAGTTAAATGGATTGTTCTGTAGTATTGAGACCTTTGGAATCACAATTTTACCATCCAGTCTCAGTGTGCTAATCAGTTCCATGCTTTTTCTCTTCTTCATGATGCCTCCTGTTGCATAAAATTATACTACTGAATAACTCATTCATTATTTTCTCCTAATTTGTGGGTTTTGGCAGTTTGTTTTTTCACTGTCCCTCAAAAAACTTGAGATGGTTTATAAAAATATACATTTTAAAAACTCTAAAAGTTGATTTTTTAAATTATTTGATAGTTAAAGAATCAGTAATCTTTGAATGCTAAGCAGGTAAGAACACAATGTCTTTCAGTAATGGTGTCTGAAAACCTGGTGTGGCTGAGCTCAACCAGTGGCCCAAACATTGCTCCGGCTATGGTTTGGTTTCTTTCAACCCCTACAATTCATATTAGGTTTTTGTCTGTGTCTGGGCTCACATGTTAATTACCACAACTAGAGTCAGAGATGGTTTTGTGTGCCAGATAACAGTCATGTATCATTTAAGATATCCAAGAGGTTCTGGAAGCTTCTCCATTAGACTGGCACTTTGATGAAATTGAAGAAGTCATCAAAGCCATTTGGAAATCCCCCTCCTGCTCTTATGATATATTCTGTTGAAATCACATTTTTTGATCTATGAATATTTCCCCAATGACAAAAACTGATATATACTTATGTTTACCAAACACCGTTACATCTGAAGCATGCTATCACTTTCTCCCTTTAAAACATAAAGAAATTTAACCTATAATGATTAGAAAGTTACTCCAAAAGTCAGCACGTCAGTAGGTCACAGATATGAATCTGTGACTCAACTATAGAAGTTCTGACTCCACATTTCTCATACATTTCAGTTCACTTTTGTCCCCCAGGAAACAACGTCTTCAGTGCAATAGAAATAAAATGATTTCAGGGACTATGATAGCTATAAGTAAAATGAGATAATAAAATCCTACTTTAAAATGAAAGAAATCTAGGATATTCTTGAAAGGGATAGATTGGAAATAAAAGAAGGCCTTTGTTTTTATGTCCTTGTCTGTCCACACTTAGTCTTCTATATTTTATTTAATTTTTTATAATTGTATTCATTCTGCTTTACTTTCATTACTTTTGTGCAGTCCTATCCAGAAGGATATAGGAGGAAATATGAGAAGAAAGACAAACCTGGGAAATCAGACAGTTTCAGGAGACCAGAACTTAGGCTAGAGAGGCAGCAAAAGAAGAGAAAAAATAGGAAAGGAACTGATTTTGAAATACACTCCTATAAAAGTGAAAAAGCTGTTCAAGTTAGGTTAATAAAGGTTGTGCTGCTGTAACAACCTCCATATTGCAGTAGCTAACATAAATAAGTTTAGGTTCTTTTATTTCATGTAAAGTATATAGATGTTTGGTTTTTGTTTGTTTTCTTTTCTTTCTTTTCTTTTTTTTTTTTTTTTCTTAAAACAGAGTCTCACTCTATCACCCAAATTGTAGTGCAGTGGCATGATCTCAGCTCACTGCAACCTCTGCTTCCTGGTCACAAATGAGTCCCGTGCCTCAGCCTCCTGAGTAGCTGGGTTTACGGACATATGCCACCATGCCTGACTAATTTTTGTATTTTTTGTAGAGACAGGGTTTCACCATGTTGCCCAGGTTGGTCTTGAACTGCTGGCCTCAAGTTATCTGCCCACCTAGGCCTCCCAAAGTTCTGGGGTTAAAGATGTGACCACCACGCCCAGCCATCTTGTAAAGTACACTGGAAATCTGGGAAATGTTCTAAGGCAGCTCCCCTGCCTGTTATGGTCTAGCATTCGGGGATGCTTTTAATTTACGGCACTTCCACTTCTGCATGAGGTCTGTGAGTCATGGCACCAGAGAATGTTGGAGACTTAGGCACTAGTTGTCTCATAATCACCTCTAGTTGTATTTCATTGTCCAAATTAAGTCATAGCTTGTCTCTGGTGGGAGGAGAATTACAATCTTCTCATGTGACTGGAATAGAATATTATTGGTTACTGGTGAATCATAACTTTGTCTTTTACAGTAGCTACCAGCGAAAAACATCAATGATGACTCAAAATATATATATATATATATATATATATATATATATATATATATATATATATATATATGATGCTTCTATAAGGATTCAGCCTATCCTTTAGTTGTCTGTCTAGATTATTGACTCCAGAGGTAGCTTAGAATTAGGGATAAGGAAGAATATTGCCTTGACCATCATTTTCTATTACTGCATTGATCAATTCATTTATTGCACCTCGGTTCTTAAAGCCTTTGGGGAATATAGTGAAAGAAGAGTAAATGTTAGACACAGGTATATTTCTTTAAGTCTCTTTTTTATGGAAATGAGATGGGGAATCAGTACGTTTCTTTTTCTGAGATTTGCCTGGACGTTTTTAGTGGTCAGCCTGGGACATTAGGTTTTCTATCATGATAATAAAATCAAATACAGTCATGCACTTCATAAAGACATTTCAGTTAGTGATGGACCACATATGCAATGGTGTTCCCATAAAATTATAATATCATGCCTTTACTGTACCCTTTCTACATTTAGATATGTTTAGATACATACATGCTTATTATTGTATTACTATCACCTACAATATTCAGTACAGTAACATGCTGTGCAGTTTGTAGTCCAGGAGCAAAAGGCTATACCATATGGCCTAGGTATGAAGTAGGCTATACCATATAGGTTTGTGTAGGTACACTATGTAATATCCGCGCAATGAGGAAACCACCTAATGATGCATTACTCAGAATATGTCAGTAGGATATGAATCTGTGACTCAACTATAGAAGTTCTAACTCCAAATTTCTGATACATTTCAGTTCACTTTTGTCCCCCAGGAAACAATGTCTTCAGTGCAATAGAAATAAAATCATTTCAGGGACTATGATAGCTATAAGTAAAATGAGATAATAAAATCCTACTTAAAAATGAAAGAAATCTAGGATATTCTTGAAAGGGATAGATTGGAAATAAAAGAAGGCGTCATTAAGTGTCACATTATTATAGTTAAGAGATACTTAAAAAACAAATAACAAAAAGTTATTTATCGTATTACAGTATACTTAAAGATTAAATATGAACTTAATTTTACTCTCATAACTTTATATCCTTTGACTTCACCCGGACATGACTTTATAGTATAAGAAAAATACATTTACATTACTTAGAAGAATAATTCCTAATTCTTAATTCAGATTCTGCGTAATTTACTTATTGTAAGTTTTATTCTGTGTGCTGCTAGAAGACATCAGCATGTCTCTTGTCTTGTACAATAAGTCATGGTACTGAGCATACTTGCACAGTAAATGATTCTATGTAATAGACAATATTACGTGCCTAAGTACCCATAAGCAGGTGTTAAAATTGGAAGCATCTGAAGTATTCTTTTTTGGGAAGAAATAAGAAGTTACCATTAGCAAACTCCTCAGGTAGAATCAGGATTAGGTTTTATAGGCTTTTTTTTTTTTTTTCAAGCTCTGAGCCTCACATCAAAATAGTGAAATAGACAAGTGCTTGATTGAGCCCCACCAGTCTCAGGATTTCCTGAAAGCTCTTCCTGATTACTTTTTCTTCTTTACACTTCTATTCTTCATTCACACGCCTCCATTTTTAAATTTTAAAATATCATATATCTCGATTTTCTGATGCCTTAAGTAATGAATTTGTATTATCTGGCTGTTCTTGGATTAACATTTGTGTAGGACAAACTTGCCCAACCTGCAGCCCATTGGCCACATGCAGCCCAGGACAGCTTTGAGTGTGGCTCACCACAAATTCATAAACTTTCTTAAAACATTATGAGTTTTTTGCATTTTTTTTTTTGGCTCATCAGCTGTCATTAGTGTTCAGGTATTTTATGTGTGGCCCAAGACAATTCTTCTTCCAATGTGGCCCAGGGAAGCCAAAACATTGGACACTCCTGGTTTAGGATATAAGGGACTCCCATTATCTTTACAGTCCCTACCTAATATCCAGTTCTTTATAACTTAGTGTTAACTCCTGACTGCCAAATTCTCATTGTTTATAACTACAAATGTGATGGAATTGTCTCTCTGTATACTTACATATAAATATACTTAAATATAAATATATAAATATACTTAAATATACAATATATAAATATACTTAAATTTACTTAAATATACAATAAATATACTTATTTATTTGTCTTCAATGTGAACTGTAATGATTGTTGAACCCTATGGACATAGCCAGATTTTAGGGAGAAATGGGTGAGCGGAAGAAGTTCCAAAGGGGAGTGGTCAAAGAGGAGAGGAATTTTAAGACAATATGGTGTCCAAAAAGGAGATGTAAAGTACATTTCAAGTAACTGTTGTTCACAACAGCTGAATGTATGAAAGCATCAGGGATGTCTTTTAAGAAAGATAGCATTACCAAAGTGTTCTAAATTTTCTTTGCTGTGATGATATACCCATTTCTAGTATGCTTACTACCCACTATACCAGATCCAAATCAGTTTGTATTCTATAAAATTCATATATGTTTTAGTTTTAACATCTTAATATTGTCATGACTTTTAGATATATTTTCATATCACTTATTAATATTCTACATATTAGAAAATTAATGTATATTATGAACATAAATATAGAGTGAGTTTGTTCTATTTGCATTTATTATACTCATATTTATATTATCTTCATCCTTTGATAAGTTTCTCCATGGAGCCTTTGTTTGTATGTATTTGCTTTATTATTACGGACTATTTTGCTCATCAAAATGTGCATTTATATATATGCCTTTCAGTATTGTTCTGTGATTTACTAAAATCCCTATAAATAGACATAATATGACTTTTAGTGTTTTCACAGTGGATATAAAATAAAGAAAAATCTAGAAATTATTTTTATTCACCTAAACTACCTAATTCCTGATAATGTTATCATAACAAATTTTAAAATTCATTTTATAAATAAAGTCATTGTACAACCAAAGGAAAGCTTACATCCTACTCTTATATAAAATTCAGTTTTAGTTAATTCCTATCATATCCTTTTTCTCATTAACTATTTAGTAAGAGTATTCACATATTCCCAGTGATGGTGATGAAATACCTCTAGGGAAATTGTGTTTTACTAAAAATTGCTGCACTATAATATTGCCAGAAATAAATCACAAGAAGAATATACTAACATCCTTTTGAGAAAGTCATTGGACAATTTTGCTGATCGAATTCAGTCACATTAGAGTCATGACATGGTAATCAGTTGGCCCAGGAACTGCTTATGTCGAAAAGGAAAATATTTCAAGAACAAATATATTATTATGGTGTTTTCACACATACAGGATATCAAAACTGAACTTGACGGATCTTCTTTGCACTGTTTGTACTACAAAAATTACATCCACATTTGTACTGCTGAAAATGTTCTCCAATTCTCTTAGAGGAAGATTTGCCACCTACTGAAGTCTCAGTAACTAAACCACATGAACACATTCCAGAGGAAATGACACCACTTTTCTTCTTTTTTTTTTTTTCTTTTTCACATTTCAGGGTCCTGACAACTGTACAAAGTGCTCTCATTTTAAAGATGGCCCAAACTGTGTGGAAAAATGTCCAGATGGCTTACAGGGGGCAAACAGTTTCATTTTCAAGTATGCTGATCCAGATCGGGAGTGCCATCCATGCCATCCAAACTGCACCCAAGGGTAAGCATCCTGGCTGGCCAAGGGCTCACCTGGTATGTGTTATCCACATGTACTTTTATCCCTGGTACCATCTCTGAAATGTAAACCATTCTCATAGAACTCTACTAATCCTTATATTTGAAATGCTGATTTTAAGAGAAATACTAAGAGAATGATTTAAGGAGTCAACTTTGTACACTCTTAAATATTTCTGCTTAGCTTTTACCTGTAACCATTCTATTAACACCTTTATGAAACTAGTGTCGGGTATACTTTGGATGCAGTTTAGAAATTCTTGCAGATTACATTGGAGATTCAAGATCTCACAAAAGATATGACAATCATCATGCTTTTGAGGTTTGTGTTTATCAACTCTTTAACAGAAAGTTTCTATTTCTGTTTCTTTGTTGTCACAATAAGCTTAAGGTGAGGATATTTCTCTTTGATAAATACTACCTTAAATTACTCCTTCAAAAAAATATGAACAAAGGTAACAATGGCAGGGAAAAAGGGAACCTAGTGATATATGTATTTAAAAAATAACGAGTACATTTTGTGAAAGTAACCTTGTTACAGGTAATCCTTTAGCCTTGAATTTCTTCGACTGATATAGGGCAATCTGAAGCTTGGTAAAATTTTTTTCCTGTTTTTCAAAAGAATACATTGTGCAATGAATAATAATTAGATTACCTTTGATATTGATAACAGTTGAATAACAAAGACACATTACAGAAAGAAGAAAAGCACTGAACTGTAAAAGAAATAATGTCATTCATTTAACAAATTCCAACAACTATTTCTTAAGAGATAACAAATCTATTTTAGTAAGGATTTTTCCTTTTCATTCCTCCAGAAGGTGAATAATTTGTAATTGAAAGCAGTGTTACATTTGCCATCCTCCTACTGACCATAAAGCCTTTTCTCCATTGTGAATGCCCATAGGCGGGTGCACATACACATATAAACACACACACACAGACACACACACACATATACACACACATTTGTAGTTGAGAATCAGCTTGGGTGCTTTATATCTGGCAGGAAAGTGTGAGATTCCATAAAGAGATGTTCTGCCAGATTAAGGGATAGCTGTTAGGGGATACTGAAGAAGTTAAGCAAGCGACATCATTTCCTGCCAAGAAAACATCAATTTGCAGATGTTGCTACAATTTCCTGCAGGTCAAGAAATAAGCTGAACTCACTCTGTGAAGTGGCAGATCCTCAAAAGGTAAAGTAATATTCTGCCATTCAAATTCAAATTCAGCTTCGAAGTGGTAATTGCCAACTCATTGATTCACACATAAGCACGTATACATTTAGGGTGCTGAAATAGTCACATAGACACTTTGCTTCAAAGGAAACTAGAGGTAATAAACTGCTCCCCTTGTGAGTTTTTGGCACACTTGAGTTAAGAGTATTTCACAAAAAAACAACTGGTTCTGCTGGAGCAGAAGAAAGAGTCAGCAACAGAAAGAGAAAACTTGCCTGCTAAAATAATCCACAAGAGAATTTTATAGTTTTGCAGCTAAAATTAAACCAGTAAATTATTCAATATAATGTTGATGTCAACAGCTGTTGCCATTCAAAATGAGACCTTTTGCTGTTTTTGCAAATCTAATTACAACGAGGCCATTAGGGAAATGAAAGTGAGATCACAGAGCCATAGTCTGGATGCATGGCTGGTGTGTCTTTCACTCTGCCCTTTTAAATCATTATTATATAATAATAATAAACATATATAGTAGGAGGAAGTAGAAATATGAGGCAATGAAAAGAGATTCATTTATGGTAGCAACAAAATCTCCATCTCAGTCAAAAGGAAGGATGAAAGTGTAATGGGGAAGAAATCTCACCAGAGCATTTGGGAACTCCAAGTGAACAGAAAAAAAGATGCCTTTAGCAATTTTCAGCTGCAGGATTAAGTTGAGACAGAATTTGAATATTGTACTCCCTGGCGTCTTCCAAGGTAAATGCGTTCTCTAATGACTGATTTAATCCTAAAGGATTTTTGTTCCTGTTTTCATTTAGCTTTCTGCCATCCTGTTTTTAAAATACCTTCTATATTATCCAGATTCACTCACTTCATAAAAATGCTGTGGTTCTAGTCCTAGAGTATTCTAGTGCCAGGAATTCCAGAAGGATGTGATTCTTAAATTCCTAAATCTTCATGTATACTCTATTTCAGTAGAACAGTGTGCTTTGAGATCTTTTACTGAAGCAATAAGGTGTTCTGTGCAGTCAGTCCCTTCTTTCCAAATTGAGCATATAGAGATAAGATATTTTCCTAGGAAAACCACAGGGGCAATGAGGATGATAGAGCAAGTGACTATTTTTATTCCTAAACACAGGTAATAATCGACCTATTAGTTAAGTGTGAGCTCACCAGGCCAGTTCCACTTTGGAAAACAGCTTTTCTTTTATATGCCTATATGATGTCGGATAATTCAAGAACCAGGTTAATGAAAATATTCTTTCAAATCACATTTTTTTAGAAGTAAAGTTCTTACTTTGAATACTGTTTAATGATTTTTCTGAAAATAAGTTATCTGTGTCAAATTTTAAAAGCACTTTCACCACTCTAAAAGTACATTAAATATAATGGCTCTAACAAGTTCTCTAGACACTTTTAAAATAGGTCATCTATTTAGCCCTTATAAGTAGATTCTCACTAATATCCATGGAAACAAGATTGTCTCTTCTTACCTTGACTAGAGAATTTTTATTTTAACAGCCTTTTCTTAGTTTATTCACTCTTCAACTTTGTTATATTGGGTATCTGCTCTGCATCACACACAGTGATAGGAAAATGCAGAAATGAACAAGATGCAGCTTTTGACCTCTGTGAACTCACAGTCCAGTAAATATATATTCTTTAATTTACATCCTCTGTTAGAGACCAGACCTTTCTCCACAGTATTTTGAAATGATGAGCAAGAATTTAAACCTTACGAATGATGTTCAGATTTGAAATTAGAAAGATAGAATATTTTTTAAAGATTTGTAAACTAAACTAATGTAATTAAATTGTGGTGAGTGCAAGAATAATTGTTTCCTCACTAATATCATTTGAGTATGTGCTCATTTAACGTCAGTTTAACTTTGGTTTTGCATCAAACCAAACCTGCATTTTAGACTTGGAATGAAATGGTTATTTTATATAATCTTTTAATGGAAAATTTTAAAAATTTCCTTCATTTTTATTTCAAAATTTAAAGATTTTATCAAAATATTGAAACTATGTTGGTTAAATGAGTACATCAAGGAACTTATAAGTCAGTATGTACTAACAAAGGTTAAACAGTTTAATATTCAGAACTTTAGATATGGTTTCGAAATTTGTTAATTAGACATGCTGTGTTTTATTTTTCTGATCTTTCTGTAAGTATTCTACTTTGAAACAGTATTTTTTTTATAATTCTATTATTCCAGATTTTGATTCAGTTATTTATTTGTGATTTTGGCTCTTCAAAAGTTTAGTGTTTCTTTTGTTCTATGATCTTGCTGAATGGATGCAGATTGCATGTACTAATTAGTTGCTTACAGAAAATACAAAGGGTTGAAAAATAATATCTATATTTTAGTTTTCAGTGGCTTGTATTTAGAAAGGGTGGTGCCATTTCAGTCACATTCTTATTTTTCTTTGTGTTTCATTTTTTTCTTTCATTCTCAGTTTAAAAATAGGTTTGAATCTCAAATATCCTACACAATCACCTCAGCAACGTTTCTTGACTCCACATCCTGCTCCCTCAGTCCCTCCGCCCTATTTCCCCCGACTCTATTTTTCTATCTCCAATTTGCTTCTCAACAAAAACCTAAATTCTAGTGACCATGACAATGACAAGTAAAATTATCTTAAGAGTTATTTTACCAGACTTCTCTGCATTTCACACTGATGATCACCCCCTGCATTTTAGACTTGGAAAGAAATGGTTATTTTATATAATCTTTTAATGGAAAATTTTAAAAATTTCCTTCATTTTTATTTCAAAATTTAAAGATTTTATCAAAATATCGAAACTATTTTGGTTAAGTGAGTACATCAAGGAACTTATAAGTCATTATGTACTAACAAAGGTTAGAAGTTCTTTTCTGATTTGACTTCCATGAGACTACAGTTAATTGGTTTTACTCCATTATATTTTCCCATGCTTCTGGCACAAAGAACTCATCTTATGTCACACACTGTTGGGGTTCCTTGGGTTTCCATCTTCAGCCTCTGCTTTTCTCACTTTTTATATCTTCTTTAGCCATCTATTCACTTACATGGTTTCCACTTTCTCCCACATGCTATTTCAAGATTGATCATTCTACTCATGCCTTCCTTCCCCCTTAACCACTCATCTTTCCAACTGCTGATAAACATTTCTATCTAGATGTAGGACAGCCATACTAAACCCTAGATACACAAAACTGAAATGATCAACTCCTCATCCCCTAACACATACAGGAAGAAACATATTCGTCTTCTTGGATTCTCTCAATGATGGTACCACTATTAGCGAAGCTAGAAATGTAAGTCTTCTTTAATTCCTTTGATCCTTTCACTTTCATCAAATCAGGAATCAACTGCTCTTTTTTATTCCCTCTATCTTTTGAGGTATTTCTTGAATCTGTTCTTCTGCCTCTATCACAGTTACCATTTCCCTAGTTTAGTCCATCATCTCTTACATGGACTCAAATAGTCTTTGTGCCAAACAAGTCGGCCTGGCTGCCAGCTGACTCGTGTCCACAGGGCAAGGAGATTTATTGAAAATACTAATCTAGCAACTTCACTACTTCTTTAAAGCCCTACAGTGATTTTCTATTGATTGTTACTAAGCAAATATTTCTCAAAATCTGGCTCCCACCTAATGTTCTAACTTCTTTTTTCCCCCTTTCTATTGCCTCATATTTTGCTCTCCAACTACTAAGAATTATTTGTAGTTATTTTGCATATACGATACATTTCTTCAGGTCTGTGCTTTTGCTCCTGCAGAAACCACGGCCACCCCAACCCCAGCTCACAACACTAAATTTCAGCTTCCTACCTCCCCCAAGAGGGTTACCATGCCCTTCTAGGGCGGCTCTAGGTGTCCCCCCTCCACACTACCCTGAACCGCTTTTTCATGTTTCTTATTACATTTATCACATGATTCAATACACAGCTGTTTATGCATCTGTCTCCTTCATTAACCTTCATTAAATTCGGAGATCATTGAGAATAGAAAAATATCGAATTCATCTTTTTTTCTCCCTCTAGCTCCTAGAATGCTAGGAACACTTAGTAGACATGTAACATAGGGCTTTTTTAATGAATGAGAATCTTTCATATTCACACTTTTCCCTCAAGTTAAATTTTGGTTTTGGATTTGTTTTTAATCTTTCAAGGGTTATTATAAAGATGGATTGGAAACTAGCCATAGCTTTTTAGATTCTCACTTGGAACTAATAAGTAGACTTTTAATTTTACAAAATGGTAATATGGTATAAAAATAATTTTCAAGAAGATAGAGCAGGAACGTATAAAAGAACAAGTTCTTTAGAATATAATGAAAAGAAAACTATATAAGACAAATTGGAAGCTTTTTTAGTAGTTAATTTTCCATTTTTAGAAATGATTTTGACTATAATACCAATTTAATTCTATATACTCTAGATTTTTCCTTTTTAGTTGCATTTTAAAAGACTTTTTATACAGGTGTATTCTATTTCTATAGGTTAAAATTTGTGCTACTCCAAACAAAAACAAAAACGAACCAATTTTTCAGCTAGCAGGAATGTTATAACAAATGTTTATGAGGCAAAGAGATGAGATAAGTGACTTAATTGTTATTATAGGTATGTTATATTAGTTCACCAATGTTTAGAGTTATTTAAATATATAATAGATAGAGTGGCCTTATACATAGGCATCTTCTTACATCATTATATGATGATCCTATCTTTAGCTTCTTTTTCAAATTTGAAAATTAAGAGTTTGGAAATACATGTAATCTTTATTACCAATGAAATAAGGCACTTCTATAAATCATAACCATAAAAAGGATATTGATAATGTTCTGGAGCTGTATGTCTTTGAGGGGAGAAAAGGAAAGGAAAAAGAATTCAGGTGTATTGGAAGATGAAAGAAATAATACTTCTATGTTAGTTCAAAATGAAGTTCTAGGGACTGTACATTAAAATTCTGTGTACTTATGTAATTCCATTTAAATGTTAGTCTCAGTGTATTCTTTACTTACCTGGATCTCAAAGGTAATTCATTTCCTTACAGAGTATTTCTTTATCTATTATTGTTTGTGTTCATTATTATGGTAGTTTAAAAATCTGTTTTTGTTTGCCTATTATGGCATTGCTACTTTAAAAGAGAGTGTCAAGATAAACTGCAGTATGGTGAAACCAGTTAATTTTCTTTTTAAATAAATTCATGTTTAAAGATAAGTATCTTTTAAAGACAGACACAACCAAGAACCAGAATAATCTGATTATGTAAAGTATCCATGAGAATAGCATTAAAGCATGCTGACTCATTTTCTGCCAAAATCAATCTTTAATGAGCATTGAGCATCAGGTTATTATATTATATTGAATTGCTCATGGTTTTCTTATTGTTTTTTTTATTTAAACTTAAGGCCTTTCATAAGAAACCATACACATGAAAACAATTATAGTCACTGAAATATCAACTTATTTGTTGAGACATGTAATCATGTATGATGCATATTAGAAGTGATATTAAAGTATTAGAAGTGAGCTGTGTGTTTGGAAGTTATTCACAGAACCAATGTAATATTTCCTTTTACTGTGGGCATTTCTTTGCATTCCACTTGGTTGATAACGGCAATTCATTTATGTGTGTTCATCAAGCAAAAATCTTCTTGCTGGCTTGAAATTCATTGTGTTCCAAAATAGTCTAATAGTTATAAGAATTCAAGATAATCAATATTTGTTTTACTGATTTTTTAAATGACTAATTTTTCTCCCCTTGTATTTTTTTAAATTTGCATTTTCTGCAGGTGCATAGGCTCAAGTATTGAAGACTGCATCGGCCTGATGGATAGGTACTTGGTGTGCTTGCTTCCCATGTTCTTCCTCCAAGGCTCCGTGTGTGAGCACTGGTGCATGTGTGTGCATGTCACTGTGGATGGAGAATGATGTTTTCTGTTCTGTAATTGCCTGCAGGTGTAATGGTCCCACTAGTCATGACTGCATTTACTACCCATGGACGGGCCATTCCACTTTACCACAACATGCTAGGTAACATCTACCATGTTTCCATTTTGTCGCTCAAATCCTTTCCTAGTTATAGTGAACAAAATGTACTAACCAGTTGGGTTAAATTTTTAATATATTATAACTCATAATATATCTAATTAGAAAGTTTTGAAAGAGGCATAAAACACTTTCCTTCTCAAGCCAACTTTCCAACTTCCTTATCTTTGTCCTTCATTCATTGTGATACAAGAGTCCCAGTTAGAAACACCATCGATTTTTTTTTTTTTTTTTTGGAGACTGAGTCTCACTCTGTTGCCCAGGCTGGAGTGCAATGGCATGATCTTGACTCACTGCAACCTCTGCCTCCCGGGTTCAAGTGATTCTCCTGCCTCAGCCTCCTGAGTAACTGGGATTACAGGTGCCCGTCACCATGCCTGGCTAATTTTTGTATTTTTAGTAGAGATGGGTTTTCACCATGTTGGCCAGGCTGTTCTCGAACTCCTGACCTCAGACAATCTGCCCACCTCGGCCTCCCAAAGTACTGGGATTACAGGCATGAGCCACTGTGCCCGGCCTTGATTTTTAATTTGTGTAGTCCAAACAACATTTTGTGTTATTAATATATAACTTTAATAGAATATTTTTGCTCTTAATTCAATAGATGATTACAAAAATATTTATAAGGAAGGAATGTGCAAAAGTTGATCTATGCTTGTATTTATTATTTAATTTAATTCAATTTCTGATTTTATATTATTTTTAAATGGTTGGCATATTCCTAATTATAAGAATTAACATAAAGACAATACAGAAAATATTTTGTGCAGGTAAAAGTATAACTTGGAATTTAAAAACAAAACACAAGACTCATTTCCACACAAAAACCTATATACTAATGTTTGTAGTGGCTTTTTCATAACCACCGAAAACTGCAAACCGCTCAAATGTTCTTCAGTTGTGGCATATCTATATATTGTATCACTACTGAGCAATAGAATAAAAAGGAACAAACTGCTGATACACCCAACAACATGGATGGATCTCAAATAGATTGTACTAAGTGAAATAAACCAGACTTAAAAAAAATACATACTGTATGATTCCATTCACATGGCATTCTGGAAAAGGTGAAACTATCAGGACAGAAATGTTGCCAAGAGCTGGAGACTGGGGTATAGGTTGACTGGAAAAGGGAAGGAGAGAATTTGAGGAGATAATGGAACTATGCTTCTATCTTGATCATGGTGATGGTTGTACAAAAGCATGTGCTTATCAAAAATTGTAGAACTGTACATTTTACTGTATATAAATTATACCTCGAAAAATCTGACTTTTAAAATATCTCATAAAACATTTCCTGTATGAGAAAATAGTAACTTTACCATCTTATGTAGAGATATTGTTAGATTTATATACGAAACAAATTAATTACATCCTTTTGGGAGAGAGAAGGTAGTACTAAAGTTAACAAAATGTGAATTTTGGATGAAGTATTGCCTTTTAATGTAAACCCTTGTATTCAAGTATACATAGTGTAAAAGTACACAAAACATAATTTTAAAGCTCAGTGAATTTCCAAAAATGAAACATTTGTGTAGCCATTAACCAGATCAAGAAACAAGATGGCAACAGAGCCCCAGAAGCTACCTTGTACCTCATTCCAAGGGTAGCCCCTGTCCTGAATTCTAACACCATAGTTCAGATTGCCTGGTTTTTCACTTTATGTAAATTTAGCCGTACAGTGTGTATTCTATGCGTCTGGCTTCTTTTGTGAAATATTATATTTATGAGATTCATCTGTGTCACTGAATTTAGTCATAATTTCTTCATGCATATGTTACTGACTTTACATGTTTTTAAAATAAATACATCATCTTAATATATCATTTTAATGAATAAAAAAATTAAATTCCAAAAAGAAAGTGAAGCATGTGCTACAGTAAATTGATTTCTACAACAGTGGCACTATGACACTTGGGCACAATCAAGACTAGTTAGTATGGTTACTTAGAGCAAAGTAAAATTATGAAAACATTAGAGAGAGGGAGAGAATGCCTAAGATCTAAAGTATAGTTTCATAAACCAAGGTTCATCTTAGATTGTTCCTATATTTGTGAAAGAAATTTTCCTTCTTGAGACCTTGGCAGAGCAACTGCATTATCAGTTTGAACAGTTTTCACATTTGCTTTGATGATTTTCTTATAATTATGTAGTTATTCCAGTGGACTAGTTACGGGTAATATAGTACAGTGGTTAAGTGTTCCATCTTTAGAATCAGATTTTCTGAGTTCAGAGTCAGGCTCTACCATTTTTAGATGTGTGATGGTGGGTAAGTTCCTTAAATTATCTGAGCCTCACTTTCTTTATGCATAAAATGGGAATACTAATACAGTTCATAAATTGTAAGATTGAATGTGTCCTTAGAACAGTGCCTGGCTTAGAAATCACTCAGTAAGTATTATTATTTATTATATTTCTATGTATCAAAAGTTCTCAAACCTTGGGGATGAGAGAACATGCTTCCCAGTGTGTATTTCACTGAAAGGAGAGCACTGATTTAAAGAGTCTCTAAAGTCACACGGGGAGCTTTGATGTGTGCCTAAAGCTCTTTTGATAGGCTCCTTGAAGGAAGAGAGAGCATTTCTCTCTCTTCGCCTTCAGAATCTCGATTACAATGTTGGCCACTGATACTAACTGTGGTAGGTCATTGGCTGATATGTAGAGGTAGAGAAAAGGTTAAAACCACATTGATAGATCACTTGTTATCCTGAATGCTTGTAATTGAGGTTATTTAACTCAAAATCATAGTGTATCTTGTTTAGATTTAATATTTTCAAAATTTAAACAAAAGCATGATTGGAATTAATCCTCTTGCCTGCTTTGGTTTCCAGGACATATTCAGTCTGAGATTCCAGTAATCTCAGACTAAAACACCTAGTTCAGATTAGCTTTATCACAAATAGGTGACCATGACCAGTCACTGTTTATAGATAATACAGAAAGTACAGCCCATCATATTTAAGAAGAATCACCTGTAGCCCACAATATAGGTAAAAAGCAGGGGTTCTTGAATGTTTAGGTTCAAATATTGGCTCTATCATGTTTTTTATCTGTAAAATGGGAAGTATAATGATCATTTTGAAACTGAGAATTCTTATAACCCTTAAGATTGGTGGGAAGATTACATGAGATAATGCATACAGCTTTAGCCAGCATACAGAGTATATTCATTGGTGGTACTTACTGCTGCAGTTGAAATGTTGGCATAATAATCACTTTGAAAACCTCATAAAGTTAGTAATTTACATATCAACAAGGCATTAATCCAGTAGATTAGTGACTACAGGATTGATATATCAAAGTTACTCAGGTTTTAAGCATTTCAATATTATACCAAACTTCTAACAACAATAATTTAAAATAATTCATAGCAATAGTTAATTGTTCCTTTTAGGAAACTCTAGATATATTTAATTAATGCCTATTTAGAACTTAAATATAATGCAATGCGACTCCATTCGTCAATTGCATTGACTTGTCAGAATCAATTGACTTGTCAGAATCAACTGACTTGTCAGGGGATGTTTATAAGAAAGTTTGAAATTTACATGAAGGATTTAGCCTGGATGCCTTGCAAAAGTGTATGAACATGGAACATTTTGATGCAGATTGGGTAAGACATGAAAGTAACAAGTATCTGCTTTTTCAGGTCTTCAGTACTGCAAAAAAATGCTTACCTCTCTGAGATGAGGTGGGCGTGTATTTCATTGAAAGGAGAGCACTAATTTAGTAATATTATTTTTAAATTTCATCATAGTTTTTCAAAGCATCTGTCAATTAATGTAAGTGAATTAATGTAAGTGAATCTTACATAATAGGAGGACAAAACTACAAAGGAAAATAATTGTTTGGGGCAGGGCACGGTGGCTTATGCCTGTAATCCCAGCACTTTGGGAGGCCGAGGCAGGCAGATCACGAGGTCAGGAGATCGAGACAAGCCTGGCTAACACGTTGAAACCCCGTCTCTACTAAAAATACAAAAAATTAGCCGGGCATGCTGGAACATGCCTGTAGTCCCAGCTATTCAGGAGGCTGAGGCAGGAGAATCTTTTGAACCTGAGAGGCGGAGGTTGCAGTGAGTCATGATCATGCCCCTACACTCCAGCCTGGGCGAAAGAGCGAGACACTGCCCCCCTCCTCCCTCCTCTACGGAAAACAAAGAAAGTAATTGTTTTGAGTTTCTTAAACCATATTTTAACTGGCGGATTATCCAAATGTCTAGTTTCTTTTTAATCACAGAAAATTACATTGAGCATGTCAATGTGGCCATTTCAAAGTATTTAGTGTTCATATTCCCATATTCCCTCCACCCCATTATACTGTATTCTGTTTCCTAAACCAGTGGGGGCAGGGCGGGAGCAGGGCCAGGGGGGAAGAAGATTTAAGTGAAAGCAGTTGAAATGTTTCCAGTCTTGATCAGCTTTCATTTTCTACGCAATGTTATTCTTTCGCAAGCCTACAATTTATGAGTTGATTTCCACACTCCATTTATATTATAGGCTGCTGCTGGAATTTCTTTCAGGAAGATTTGATAAGATAGAATAGAATTTCTTTTTTACCTTTAGTCTCCTAGAATATGCTGCTTATAATGAAAATAATACTTGATATTTTAGAACCTCTCCCTACTTCCCTTATCTGAATTAAGTGCCTTAAAAATAGTATTTGCCTTTGGTGGTTTTCCTTTTCCCTCAATAATCCTATAAAAAAATATGTTTAGCAAGATTTTTTTTCATTCTTTTCTGTATATTATTTATTTTAGCTTGCATACATGCTATTTTCATATAGATTCTGATGGAATAGAATATTTGCTTCTAATCCATTGTAGATTCTTGGTCAAATATATATCCAAAGGTTTTTTCGGTTGTTTGTTTGTTTGTTTGTTTCTTTTAATCTCAGTCTCCTATTAGGGCTGAAATTTGTTAATCTCAATAAGTCAAGTTTCTATCGGCAAAACATGTCTTTATGTTAGTTAGCAGTCCACA